ATTTCCATTCAGTTGAAAAACTTAGGTGCAAATTAGTGAATCAGTGATAAAGCACTTGATATTACAAATGAATTCTTCAGACTCGATATAACACTTCAATGACTACATTTTATACCGATAAGTCTTCGGTGAGGATGAAATAGCTGTTCAGTGCTTTCCAGATCGTCATCGTTCTCCGGCCTATGTAAGTTTACTGTAAAAGTTATATTTACAACTCAAATTTCAGTTTTTTATTTAACAAGACTTGTTTCCCTTGGTATGTACTTATTATGCATAACTAGATTAGTAGATGCGTAAATTTATTAATTTTAAATTCATGCTACCTACATTAAAATAATATCAAGAAGTCTTGCTGTCTTAATCATAATAACGGTTCCTCTCATTTTCACGATAAAGTGTTTTCATGCTTGAAAAGACATAGAAAAGAACTTATTTCATTAAGTACTGCTTCAGGAAAGAGTTTTATATTGGATCAATAAGCACTTACAACAACAAGTCTCTTCACCGAAATTGAAACGTAAGGTCGCTTTAATTTAACTGACAGAAAGCATTTTATACCAGTCTGATTAGTTATTCAGTTTAACATAAAAAATCACAATAGACAGAACTAAATGAGAAAAAATGACCAAAAATAACTAACCGGTTAATCCTCTGATACTCACTTTTTACAGCTCAAAGATGATTTACATTACAAACGGAATTCTGCTATGAAAAAATCATCCCACAAAGAACACTAAATAAGCAAGGATTCTTTATTATGATGTCTGCTTGGTGACTAGTAGTGAAATCAAAGATCCACTTTTCATCTTGTTTGCGACTTGTCAGCTGAATGTACCCTTAACCCAGTGAGTGGTTTTTTCCCGCTGAGACTCGAACCCAGTACTCATCGCTTCAAACGCCAAAGCGTTCATCATCTGTAGCAGCGCTTTCTGGCCTCACAAACAATTTGGAAAATTATCAGCGATCATACTTGTTATGCTTCACCCGTGTACAAACTCATGTTAACAACGAAACAGCCTAAAAGGAACACTTACTGTTCGTAATACTATCTCGGTAGAATTATATGTTAGAAAGATGTGCCAAATCTTCTATGTAGGGAGATTATATTAGTCATTTTGATTAGTATCCTTTAGCGAGTTAATACGTATTTCGTGTGATATTACACAATGGCAAGTAATTTAATGATTTGGTTATCTGACAGAGTTCTCATCATATGCCAACTTGCACACACGGAATAATGACAACACTGTGAATAGAATTTGTCATCATATTAAAGTACTTATCACTGTGCAAATGATGCTGTTTTCTGTTTAGTTAGTTTCAAGAAGTGAATGCTAAGCAGGCTCAATTATCACTTTATTCACAGTTCATCCTAACAGTATATCGTAGAGACTGAACATGCAGTTGTTTTTCCTTCGGTTTTCTGTGTTCGCAACGCAGTTGTTTGATCGCACTCCGGGTGAAACAGGAAAATATTCTAGATTAGCAAGTTACTTGTTGCGTTAAAACTGGTTAAAGAGTACTTAAATAGAGTCTGCCTTTTTCTGTAACATGTGAAAATTGTCTTCGTTTCCTCAATTATCAACGAAGAGCCAAAAGCTGAGTCAAATATATCAAAAATAAACGACTTAAGAATTACGTTTGAGTACAGCTTTAACAACTTCAGTTCCATTTTATTCCCAAGCTATATCGTGCAAAACAATAAACACCACAGAAAAGTAGGACAAATCAGATATCATTTATAAAACTGTCTGCAACAACTGTGATGAATACTATATCGGACAAAGTGACCCACGTTTTCATCTTTGCCTGAATTAGCACCTGTTAGTAATAAGTTATTGATGTTTTATATCTGATAAGAATGCGTGGTGATAGCTGTGGACATGAATTTCTTTGTGAAAATATAGAAACCTAAGATAAACAAAAAACGTAGAATAGAAGATAATTTGTAGAAGTTTTGGGTTCAGACGAGTTGTTACTCAACAGTTGTATAGACTCAACTTATCAGCTAATGAGAAAAATTGCAAGCACCTGCATAGTTAGAGGTTGAGTATAAATTATCCAATGAGTGGCATTTCCAGTCTTTGATCGGACAGCAACTGGAGATAACCAATCACATTGCTTATTGTCAGTAAACCATACTGAATCATTCATGAGAAATCTTAACAGTTCAGTTCGCACTGAAATTAGTATTGTCTAAAAGACAATAAAACTTTCATAATTAAGGCTTCAAGCACAAAAAGCAGCTCCAACAAAGTCCAAGCCTACCGAAATCCTCATTCACGACGGAAATTTCAGGGTTTTTAATTATTTTGTTGCTAAAAGCCATCAAGAAGGAACAGGCAGTGCACGATTGTTCATACTAGTACTTTAAAGGTAACTGATCACGTGAGAAGCAAACTTATGGTACCCCTAGAGCCTGAGGCATTGTGTTCAGCCTTGCCGTCAAGGATGAGGTTCGGTCTGTACCAAAGTATCTAATTACAAACGTTAGGATTCAACTATGGATTTTAGAGAATCAGTAATTTCTAGTTACAGGTTTATTCTATCTAATTCCCGGTATGGAAAAGAAATATGATAAGTCTTAATTCAAACAGGCTTTATTTTTGATATGAATAGTAAAACAGAAAGTCTTAGAAATTTGTTTTTAACATCAGGGAAGATGGGATTGCAGATATGATAGTTCAGTACTTTTAATAACTTCAAAGGATGGAATATTTTAGTGTTTAAGTTACTCAGTATCCAATTGGAATTCACTTCCATTCATATGTCAATGACTAGGTATTTACACTTTATACATGTGACACTGAAATTTTTGTACCGTAGATGCAGTCTCCGATTATGCAAATCAATAATAATAACAACATATCTAACCTTCTGGACAGACATACGTCCGAAATGATACCATGTGGTTATCACATAACTGAAGCAAGAACAATGAGTGAAAACTCTGTTCAGATATATCCATGATATGATTAAATACACAGATGTTCTACAATTGATTTAGGCTAATCAGCAACAAGTCAATTATTGCTTTCGCTTTCGTTGCATATTGCATTATTATCTTGAGAATACTATTTGTAAGTTTTCATTGGAACGCGGTCAGCTAACAATCAAGAGTTTCCTGTAGAAAAAAGCTGTCCTTGATTTTCTTTTTATCCAGTTTCTGAATTGATGTATTCAGTAGCAAAAGCTGACTACATCTAAAAGAAAGGGATATTGTAGGTATCCAGGTGACAACAATAAATTTAAAACAAAAACCATATATTAGTAATTTAATGTTGGCCAGTGGAGAATATATACTAAACATCGAGTATAGTCTCTAACAAAAGCGAGTGTAGGCTCAGCAACTAATAAGCTTGTGGGAGTTTTGAAAATGTACCTATTTCTGCCATAGGATAGTGGACATTGGGTCAGAGAAATTCAAGATATTGAAAACTGACTGGGTAGTTTTAAGGCCAGAGTGGTCACTTTACTCATCATCATGTTGGGGTTAAGAAATACAGGACACAACTGTAGTCTACAGAGTTTTTATTATGCAGCAGTTGTTCAACTGATGTAAAATAGTAATAAAAAGTGCTTTCAAACTGGATGATGACGGTGATGAAAATCTTGAAGCTTTTTAGATTGTTTAAAGTTTGTTACTAAATTTTGTAGATGGTTTCCAGTTTTGTTATTCTGTATTCATCTTTGTGAAGGATAATTGTAGTGTCTTACTCATACCACTTGTCACATTACCTGATGTGCTATACTCTGCCAATTTTTAGCCGGATAGTTGAAGTTAGTTACCATATCTACATTTTACGAATTTAGTTAGGTCTTGGATTTCACTGGTTGACAAGAAATTTGACTAAAAAGGATTATAATTTACTTTGTAGTAACTGCTGTTTTCGGAACAATACTATATTACCCTTTACAAATGAGGTTAGTACATTTAGAAATTTCGAAACAAGCAATTATTATTTCAGGCTGCAGTGTTGGTTATTAAAAATGATACGCTCTATGTGAGCGTTATTTCTATGAACTCCCTGAGGTGGAAAACATTATTCTGCTAGTCCAATGAGAATTTTCCTTAATGAATTAAGAGTATTATGATGGAAATGTCTACTTTGAGATGGTTCAGTTTTCCTATCTGTTGTCAATTTGAAATTACCTCTTGTTACAACAGAAATTCAATTTTTCATTAATGTAACTAAGAGTTCACTCTGCTACTACCATGAAATTAATGTAATTTATGACTGGTCACCATGCCAAATATTCCCTTAGCAAAAACATGGTAGTATATACAGATTTTTGATAAATAATAACAAATTCTACTAATTGAGGTTACACTTAATTAAACTTCCCAGCATCAAGCGTGTTGTATTAATAAACCGAGATAAATGGAAAACTCAGTAGGCTTTGGTGCCATTGAGATTCTGTTTTAGGCAAATGGCAGTATTTCTGGTCACTTTTGCTTAGATTCACTGTTGGAATTTGCTTTTTCAATGAATCGAAATTTTCAAATCTTAGTCTTTCGTTGAAGTCTTTCTGGACACAAGTGTGCAATTAAGGATTTCGCAATCAAATACTTGCTGCGTGAAAACTCTCTTGAAATTAGTGTATTGTATCAAAGTTACTCCTAGGTAATTACTGTAGTATAGTCCTTCCTTGTGACCAACTGTATTTGAAGAGGTTGAACTGGGAACTGATAAGTAGATCAAGAGACGTCATCTTAAGTATTATTTTCAGACTAAGTGGAAGTTCATGGTATCAGCATCTGCACCAAAAAGTGAAATTGATCGAAAACAGATTTAAATGTATTTCTGCTCTAATTTACATTTCAAAGTAATCTAATATACGAACCAGTTTCACTTGTCACACAGTGAAGGATTGACTCTGCATTCTGCGTGTAAGAATGCTAGGTTTGTATTAACATACGCAGTAGTCAGTTTTAAGTAGCAAATACTTAAAATGTCCGATATTATTACGTCGTAGTTATGACATAAAGAAAACGTTGCTCACCTTGTTATGTTATTTGGATGCGTAATCCATTCATACTGAGTCAACTGAAGTCGAAGTTGCTTTTCAATATAGTCTATGTTTTCAATCATTTGTGCTTCTATTATGTCAGTACTAAATAGAAGCATCATTTTCAATAAATTCAACTCGGTGACATCGGGCTGCCCATATAACGAGAACGGAAGAGTCATTTAAACAGAAAATGAAAACAGAACAAAATGTGATAAGGGACACCTGGAAAACTGATATGAATAAACTTTAAACAGGAAAGTATTTGTATTTTCTCTCATGGTCTTCAACCTGGCTTTGGATGAAGCAAGTTTGCAGAGTGAATTTAAAACCCTTTTCTCCGTGGAAGCTGAGTTCTAAATCAGTAGAATTCTCAGTGTTTTCAAAAGCAGATTAAATGTTTACAGTTGCACAATCCATGAGGAGAATATAAGCTAATTAACTCTGACAGTAAAGACTGAAGACTTTGGTGTGTTACAGCAGTAGCGCAAAGCAAAAGTTGTGTTTAAGTTGTACTGTGAGACTAAGCGAACAGATAACAAACCAATTTGTTTAAGCTTAATGCTCATAATTTACAAACTTTTATCAGTAAAAGGTGACGATGACTAGTAAATAACTCAAAAGATCACAAAATATCGGTTGTCGTAACTTTTGATACAATGAATTTGAAGTTAAATATAATTTTTTTGTGGTATATTTTGTGATGGTTCTTGAATAAAATCTGAAATAAGGACATAAAATATTTTCCACAACTGAAAGCAACACAAAGCTTATCAGTGTCTCCTACTGACTACACAATGATTCATTCACTTGACAAATTATTTCTATTTTATAGTTATGATGTCTCGTATTTTATTATTTTCACTGTTATATTCGTACATTTTGTGTTGGGAAGACTTATTTAGTGGATCTTAAAATGATCAACATTAGCGACTTATAGCAGCCAAGTATCTGCTTGTTTACCAGTTGAACTCCGATATAAAATAGGTGGAGCATAATTTATCGTCTTCGTTGTGCTTTATTTAGGCTTTTGAGATGGTCTACATTTTATTGGGCCAACGATCTGAAGAAAGAGTTAGATTTTATACTTTTCCAGAAAATCACCAAAGTTCGCTTTTAGATTGAAGTAGTTCACAAGCTCCTCACTTACTCGGTCGTAGCTAGCAGTGGAATCCAGGACGCGTGTTTCGTCTAATTTAGGACTCGTCAGTTATTTGTATCTGCACTCCAGTGGGTGATGGTAAACAGAGGTATTTCAGTTTGATTCAGCATAGCAACGTGAAATTACAAGTAATAATAAATAATTACAGCTTTATCATTTGATATGGAAGAGGCTGTTTTTTCACGGCTTATAACTGTATTCTACCAATATACCTGAATTCACGTTAATAACTTAAATCGATGTTATTCAGTAGGTTGAAAAGATCTACCTTTAAGATATTGCTCTAAATGTGGTCAGAATGGGAAACTAGTTATCATATAAATTCAACACTTTTTCCGTGTAAAAATGAGAATAAGACATCACATAGATTTGAACTAAAAATGAAACGGTGCACATCCCTTGTTCATCATAAATGCCTTGTTGGTGAATACCTACTGTAAGAGCTAATAATCTTTTGATTGCATTTTTGTACTCAGTGTAAATTGTTACGAACGAAGAATTCTAATTTAGTTTGGATGTGTTCAAATGAAATCCAATCTAAGTGAAGATGCAGCTCCATTGTCTTATTTACTTAGTATAGACCTGTATAACTATTAATTCCTTCAAAATCAACCAAAGCCTTTGTTTTATTTACAAGTTTACCGACTTGAGACTTCAAATCTTACATCAGTCACGCTTTTGGTCTAAATTAATTGAATAATATAAGGTGTAAAATTATATTTATTAAATATATTATGAAAAAAATTATATATTTTTATAAAATAACTTAAAACTGTGCAGGTAGCTGCCAGGCTTTTCAGATCACTATGTAGGAATAACTATACAGCTTGTTTAATCATTACGCTTCATTATAAGTCGTGTCACAGTTACACCAAATTTGAGATTAATTATCAACTAATTGAACACTAGGCAGGTTGTTCCGTTTAAGACAGAGAAATACTTCATGCACGTACTAAAATGGAACTTCCGAATATTTGATAAATATTGTTTTGAAATTTCCTTCTCACATCATTCTGTAACGATCCCATAGATCTGTACTAGTGCTGATCACCGTTATGTATCTTTAAACAATCAAATAAATGAAGCCAACTCCTGTAGAGTAATTTGGTTCGTAAACTAACAGTTCATACTTGATTTCTAAATAAATGTATGGGGGATTGCCAATATTTTAATTAGTCCTCACCTTTGGAAATGAATTCTACTCTTTACTTACCTTTTTCTTCTTTCTACTTGAATATTCTAGATGGTATTGACAAACAGTTATGTAAGTGCATGTGCGAAGGCTTAAAATCAAAAGAAGAAAAGGAGATGGACGATAAATCCTAGTCAGCCTATCACTAACTTTTGGCATTTATGCACCAAACAGTGGTGTGGTTAGATTCAGTGAAAGACGAGTTTAGATTGCTTTCTTTGCTTTGCCTAGCGTAAAAGAAAAGTACTACATCTTCAGATTTAGAAAGAGGTATTATTCACTCATAACTGCATCACAACGTAAATTGTGAACAGAAAGTTTTGACGGAAAATTAATCATTGTTTCACGACATGGAATTCACTGGTATGGGGAAGAGAGTTTGACGTATTTCTTTTGCAGATGCAAAATATTATTTTTTGGTATAAAATCACTTTTACCTGAATACTTTGGTATTGTTCATATAATTCTATTGGTGGGCTACAAAAGCCTTCAGTGAACTGACATTTGGAAATAGCTTGACTCCATGTGATTTGCGACTGTTGTTGACTTTCTAGCCAAATTAGCAGTAGTAGATTCATCCATGTCTGAGAGAATAGAATTTTCTGAATGGCACAAAGAATAGAAGAGAAAATATTGCATCCTTACATTCGTTAGTAAAACAGGTACAGTCATTAGTTTATATACAAAATGAAGTGAACGATCAGTTAGAATTTGTCTACTTTGTTTGTACACACACAGCGTGTATCATTTAAGACTTATCGGAGTTTGATCTGTCACACTTCCTAACTGCAACGTAACAGTTTAGTAGGTGAGTAGTTGAGTAGGTTTACGCATTAGTTCTCTTTAGTTGTCAGAGGAAATTGCAGTAGTCAATTTGGAATAGTTTAATCTTTCTGTTCTTCCATCCTCGTAAGTTACCAAAAGTTATTTTTTTTGATGAGAATGCTAGTGAAAGAGTTTTATTTTGGTAATAAGTATTATACTCATTTCTATCTTTAAATGACTAACTTTTCGCAAATTGTAAACCCTTGATTTTAATGAACAAGTGATCAGATTTCAACCCTAATTGACAGGTGATATTTCATACAAATAACCTAATGAGTTAAAAACTAACCAATGTCAGGGGAACTGGAGGTTTAGTATGTTGCATGAGCTATTCCCGCTAAACAGCACATTTATTAACCATTTGATGGAGGTTAGAACTCAGTTGTCTTCGCTTACAACACATCTATGAGAAAATAAGCTTTAATCATTGCTTCACTTACAATTACTTCATCGAGTAATTTCAAATAGGATTAATGAAGATTTTAACTCTGGGCTAATAGGTAGACATTTTATAAATTGGCTAATTATCTACGAGTTTGCTTTGGACCTTGTTTTTTATGTCTTTTCGCAAATTTTTTTCTATAAAATTTGGGTTGCAGCTTTAAGGAAGACAGTGAAAAAAGGTTTTCATTTATTTCATTTGTGACAGCGAATACTTTTTGTATAAATTAGTTGAAATGTTATATCTGACAGTCGACTGAAATGGTCAATGTGTATTTGAATAACACGGGTAACACGAGTTTGCTGTGAACGCTTTTTAGTTGGTGAAAAAAGTACTTATTTAGATTAGTAGACATGTTTTTATTAGGCTAGCTGCTTTCATTGCTGTTATAATGTCTTCTAAAGTTGTATATTATAAACTAAATAGTATGGGAGGTGGGTTTAATGTTGGATTTTCTGCATCAGTAAAAAAGCCTCAAAACTGTTACGTTTATTATCGTTTGTCGTAGCAATAAAAACGTAGTTGTAAAAATAATCGACCCACAGTATTTAGCAAAACAAGAGACCTTAACTTTGACCGCACATAATATCCAACATCAAAACATTCATTCAATCTATTTACCTAAGTTGACCATCTGATCTAACTTCTAGGGGTCTGCACTATTTTGTAGAATAAAAGGTTAATATATTCTCGGAAGTTCCGTTATCTTTTTTCAGTTGAAACCGATACTTTTCAACTTTCATGAATGATAAATAAACTTTGCTTTCTGAACTGGATAAGGTTATCTGTATTTGATAATTCTATCCTGTATATTTTTTAGTATGGTGTAGCTGAATGCAGTTGTCAGGTATCTGTTAACTTGATTTTCGTGATTGTTAGCCCTTTTCAGCAAGACGTTTGCACAGCCTTAAGTAAGTTGTTCCCTGGTTTCATATCTTGAGATGCATTACAAAGTGCTCCAGGTCATTAGTGCTACAGGTAATCATCTTGATAACTGAACAATATGCAACGGTTGATCGCCTGAGAATAATTAGTGGGACGGAAATTAATCAAAGTCCGTAGCCATTTCAACCTGATATTGTCAAACTATTTTTTCCGGTTTCATTTCATTGAAGTTAGTAAGATGGTGTGTTTTGATATTGATTCGACCTTTCGAAGAAATTTGAAATCATTCAGATGCTTCAAAATGAAATCAGCAAAATCAAAATCTTCGTGAAATAACATGTAACAATACGGGTGAGTTTCCGATTGGTCGACAGCGTAAAAGACGGTAGAGAATGACCTTGTAGAAGGACATGACTAAAACTAAAATGGTTGGATGCATAAAATTACCATATCATTTTCGTATGTAGTCAGCCTTGCAATACACCTATTAGTCTTGTCACATACTTTTATTACAAAGAAGTGAGTGATCATTTAGGATGGGGTCCGAATGTTGGGATTTAGGCAGTGACAAGCTTAAATCACCAAATCAAACTGAAGCAGATAGTGATGTTTAAATCTGACTCCAACGCGATCTTATTCTGGTCCCATCACTTCGAATAGATCTTAGTTCTTGCCGTTATAACTGTAACGCATTTGTGATTGAACTGAAGTGTAGTAGAAAAATTTATGATTATTTCTACTAGAATGCATTGTATTTATACAAGACAGTGTGGTATAGGAAGACAACTTGATTTAGGTGAGAAAGGAGTTGAAGTTGAACCTAGATTTCAAAGTGAAAAAAATTAATTCTTCAGATTTCGAATTTAATTTGATGGGAAGATGACATGAATAGTTGAGGATCATCATTTCAGTAATTCAGATCTCATCGTGAGTTACAATGATGTGCTCGAAGATTATTACCATTTTTGCAAATTTAATCGTTGTCAAGTACAATAATTTGAATGGGAGACATCTTGAGAGATTGTGGGACCAGGGCCTAGTTGTGTAATAGATATTTTAAGTAAGAAAAAAGTATTATGTTCCCACGAAATAAATATAATTTCACTCATCAAGTGACTGAAAGTGAAATAGCCGCGAACAGCTTTATTTTAATCGAAATGTGGGTTGTAAGTTATATATGATTTCAAACCTCAGTTGAGTAAAATCTGAAGTTTATGAAATAGCGTGTTATTTTTCATCCTTATGGCTTAGACTTATCGGTCACCAACGGCATTATCATCAAACTGTCTAGCTTTTAAAAATAAATCCAAATTTACCTGTTCTTGCTTGCGCAAACTAGTGAAATTCGGAATTCGAAAGACCCAGTTAATAAGTTTTTCAACCAGTGGACGAAATGCTTTGTTAAAAAGTTTGCTAATGACGATTTGATTTCCTGGATTCCTTAGAATCCAACCACTTGCCTCAAATGTCCAATTCAAGAATATATTAATCTGATTTGTAATGTCCAGATTAAGTGTGGAGTTAATTTTATTTGGGCAAACGGTGTTTTCTTTCGGTTCGCCTTCAAGTGATTTATCAAAGCTGGGTACAGAGTTAACAGGAATCTCACCAAATGAAGATTGAACTTCTGATATTTCGCTATCATTTTCCTGAAGTAAAAATGAATTCTTTTCGACGGTATCACCGGCTTTGCTACACTCCACTGTTAGTGATGATGCTGGGTTGTACATCTTCATGTTTTCTTCTAATTGCTGAATTGTTTTGTTAAGAAATAATTCTTTTATTTCTCTTTCACCTGAAGAATAAATAAAAATAGTCTTAGTTGGAGATAAAATATCAATGAATAAATATCCAATTTCGAGTTATGTTCAGGAATATTGTTTAACAGGAATATTTTGAATACCATAGTGGTTTTTTGTTAAGCAAAGCAATTGAGGAAAGGAATCGTATAAAAAATATACCCGAAGTTGTTTTGTAGTGTAAAACAGAATGTATGTAGTTGAGAGATTGAAAAGTAATGCAAGCTGCAAAAGATAAATCTGCATTGTATACTGCTGAGTCAAAATGGATTAAGATGAATGGCAAGAAATATGGGCTTATGGACATTGCATAAATATCTAGATGCTGTGAAATAATGAAACTAACCATGCTGGTCAGAAGGGTCATAGAGTGACAGATTAGTCGTTGACTATGACAATTTGTTTAACAAATGGCTTTAATAAAATCTTTTGATATTCTCTTTACAGATATGAAAATATTTCAGGCTTTAATTTCAAATTACGTTTACTGACATAATTGTCAATTTCAAATTCCTGAAATTTGTAGGTCTTGTAATATTTCATGAGGTAACCGTTCATTTGAGGCATTTCGACAACAGCTTGCGTATACTAAGAGTTAAGAAAGCTCTAATCACCTGTCACTGAGAAAAAACTATGAAGGTTTTACAGTTAATGTAGAGTTTTCATAAAAAATTAAAAATCCGCATCCGTTTTACGCTAAACATCTCTAATAGATTGCACTTACAATTTAAGATTTTGTATACCCTATTATGAAGAATGGCGAATGAAGCCAAAATATTATTAGATTTGCTGTGTTAGACAAAGCAGGTATGTTCCACATTTCGAAAACAAAATAAATTGTAGCAGTGAGTATTTATCCGAACTAGAGAAGACTTAGTCTGGAACGTTTCCTTACTAACAATGTACTAGATGGTTTGGAAAACTTGTACACCTAGTTAATATGATTCATCGCATAAGATCCATTTTTACTTTTGTAATCCTAACATAGTATATTAAAACAAATAACAAAAGAAACAAATATTTTGTATTATTCCTCAAAGTTTCCATCTTGCTGTGAAGATCCTTTTCAAGAGTTTGAGTCGGATATTAGGTTTTCACGCTAATATTCAAGTTCTGGTACAGAAGATGACCTTTACAATCATCAAACTACATCTTGATATGGAACAAAGATCAATATAATGCAAGTGAGTGAATTAGCGAATCGACCAGATAGGCTTTTTTAGTTGTGCAAGTAAGATGAAATAAAAATAGGTCAGAGAAATTTAGTTCGACTGCGAAAAGTACAGTGGAGTTGTGAGTCATCAGGAGTGAGAAAGAATAATTTACTTTTTTGGATAGATGAATATTCGAACAGCAAACCCTGCATAATAATTAATAATAACGATAATGGTAGTTTTGATAACAGTTGAAGTACGAATGATAACAAAATGGAATAAGTAATATATAGAATGGTTCGTAGAATGTACATAACTCCAAAAGGCGAGTAAAACTGATGAAAATAGTAGATCAGCAAAGTGTTATGTGACAGGATTAGATAAGGTGTTCAAATAAAACCAATATTTAGAAGTAGTATTCATCATGGACTGACATTAGTTGGGGAACCATTGGAGCACTGGACAGCTGTTTCGTCCCAGCATGGGACTCCTCAGTAGTACGCACCCATGACACGGCTAGGGATCGAACTCAGGACCTTCGGTTTTCACGGCGAACACGTTAACCATTCAGCCACTGGGTCGGTTTCCAGTGGTTCACAATTTCAAACTTCTGTCAATTCACAACATAGTGCGTACTGCTGAGGAGTCACATACTAGGACGTAACAGGTGTTTAGTGCTCTCAGATTTTGAATGGTTCCCCAACTAATGTCAGTCCATGATGAATACTACTTCTAAATTAAAATTCCCACTGATCCCAAAAATACAAAACCAATATTGTTTGAAGCGATTAAAATGATTAAGTGAAGTAACACCGGAAACTATTCGAACATGAACAAATTCGGAATAAATCATGTGGAATACGGTGAAATGAAGTTGTGTTCTGCCTTATCTTCATATATTATCTTAAAATGTCTATATGAGTCGTTAATGTTTGCCATGTTTGTGGGGTGTCTGCACCATCTTTCCTATTGAATGAAGGAGGGTACGAACAGATGTGCAAAAGCTTCTGCAACGGCCCGCTCTTTCTGAGGAAGAAAACCTTTTCTTGCAAGACTTTAGCCTTTTCGGATGATATTTTATGACCTGAATGCAACGCATGAGCCGCGGTACATTATATTATTTATTATTTGTCCCTTGGGTTCCTAATGGAACATAGGGCTTAAGTAGCACGTCGCCATTGCACTCTCTTCCCTGCAGTCTTTTGAACCTGGTTCCACGACAGCCCACAACCTCTCATTTCCTCCTTGCATGGTCTCCTCCATGTCACCCTTAACTGGGATGCCCAACTCGTCGTTTCCCATCTGGGTTCCACTCAAGGGCCTGGCGCATGATGTCCCCACTCGACCTTCTCAGTGTATGCCCAACCCATCTCCACCTCCACGTCCTTCCAGTGCATATTTGTTGAGCGATAGGTTCTTGGTTGGTTCGTTGCCCGGCCAGAGTTTCTTGCTGCTTATTCCTGTTAATCTGGCCATGTGAGCTTCAGTAACAAGCCAGCGTAGGCAGTTGGTGGTGAATATTTGTAGTTTATTGGAAATGCCTTTCGTAAAGCACCAAGTCTCTGAGCATACATAAGTACTGACTTGACGTTGGTGTTGAGAATCCAGATCTTGTTTCACGTGCTGAGTGGAGTGCAGACGATCTCCACACTGGTTTCAGGCGAATGAACGCCTGTCTTGCTTTTTCGATATTGGCTTTGATGTCCTCGTCTGTGCCGCCTGCAGTTAAGACAGTGGTGCCTAGATAGGCTACTTCCTTTAAGTTTCTCCCGTTGATGGTGATTGGAGCTTTTTGTTATTGCTGTTGTTGTTGTTGGGTATCCTCATCACCACTGTCTTCTCTATATTCACTTGAAGTCCCGTCTTCGCCGCCCTGCCTCTTCTGTCAACTTGTTAGTTTTCGCCTGTAGATCTCCAAGATTGTGTGACATCAGACACTAGTCATCGGCGAAATCCAAATCTTCTGGGTTCTTTTCCCCAGTGCAGCGTATCCCCCTCTTCTCACAGCTCCTCACTACAATCAGGAATATCATGAGTGATAGTAGGCAACCTTGTTTCACTCCTGTCTTCACTTCAAAAGCATCACTGAGCTTCCCATTGTGAATTACTTGGTATATGGCGTCTTCATATAGTTGTTGAATGAGGCTGATTAAGGTTTGTGCTATTCCATAGTGTTGAAGCAACTGCCTGTCAAATTACTTCTCGGTCGACGCTGTCAAAGGCATTTTCAAAATCAATGAAGTTGAGGTAGAGTTGAGTTGACTGCCATTCTATACTGTGTTCTATGATGATGCGTAGAGTAACGTTGCGATTCGATCCGCACATGATTCGTTCTTCCTGAAGCCAGCCAGCCAGCCTGTTCCGGTCGTGTTTTTGAATTCAGAATATTGTTTAGTCTCTCCAGGATGATGCGGCTTAATATTTTGCTTGGGGTGGACGGGAGCGTGATTCCGTGCCAGTTCTTGCAAAGACTTAGGTCACCGTTCTTCGAAAGTTTGACAAGGTAACCCTTCTTCCAATCAATAGGCATATACCTTCCCTTCCTTCCACACCTTCTGCAATAGTGGTGTGTGCATGTCCGTTGTTGTCTCTGCGTCTGTTCTCAGTGCTTCTGGCGGAATCCATCTGGTCCTGCCGCTTTCCCACGTTTCAGTAGCTTTGTGGCATTCAGGACTTCGACTTTTGTCGGAGGATTTGTGTTCACTTGTAGTTCTGTGGCTGGGATGCTGGTGGTATTTCTGGACGAAGTGGTGGTGGTGGTCGATTCAAGAGCTTTTTGAAGTGGTCAGCCCATGGTTTCCTTTATTTCTCTTCTTTGGTAATTAAATTTCTTTGGTCATCTTTTGTTGGTTTCAACTGTGTTAATCTCTTCCCTCCCAGATAGTTATTTGATACAATGTTGTCAGGTCTCTGTCGCTCCTACTTGCAGCCTATTGTGCTTCACTTTCCAATGTGTCGTACAAGTGTCCTTTGTCTTTGTGTGCACTCTTCTTCACTTCTTTGTCCAGTGTGGTGTTTTATACATTGTACTCAGTTCCTCTTCTCGTTGTTCATCCTTGCACTGGTTTATCTTCTGCTTCACCATACTCCTCTCCCTCCTCTATCAGCTTCCATGTGTCCATCGAGATCCATTCCTTGTCTTGTCTTCTTTCTTCTTCCTTCCTAATACGATTATGCAGGTTTCTTTCCGCATGGCTTTCAAAGAGTTCCAGTGCTCATCCACACAGGTTTCTTCAGGGATGCTGTTTGATATCTCCCATTTTGTCCTGATGGCTGGCTGACGTGAAGATTTCCTTTGTAGTTTCGTGCTTGAGTTTCTGTTCTGGGTGTTGAACCTGAACTGTGGTCTATCACCAACTTCCTTGAAGGCTTTCAACTTGATTTTGAAGGTTCCTTGCACAAGATAGTGAGTTGTCTGGGCCTACATCTGCCTCCCTTCTTGATCTGATCTTGTGTCCAGTAGACTGCGTCTCCACTTCCTTCACATTGAGATGGAGTCGATCTGATTTTTAGTGTGTCCTGGTGTGGTGTCTGGTGAAATCCATATCGCTTTGTGAATATCCTTATGCTTGAACACAGTGTCTGACTCCAATCACCAAATCGTTGAATGCACAGAATTTTGCAAACAATTCTCCATTCTCGTTCACTCCACCGAGTGCTTCTCGACCCATGCATGATTGGTTCTCTTCCTGTGTTGTCGCCTCCCAGTTTGGCATTCATGTTGCCCATTGAAATTTTGATGTCGCCAACTGAGGTCTTGTCCAGTGCTGACTGCAGTTGTTTGTAGAATTCCTCCTTCTTCTCTTGCTCTGCATTATTTGTAGGTGCGTAGCATTGTACGATTGTGAATGAGCCGCGATGGCAGAACTTTTTTTACATTTTTCCAGGTCATGAGGTTTTTTGGTGGTCGCAACTTTGTGTTTGGTTAGACGTTATAGTACTTTACGTGGTATCTCTCCAATGTATGTGGTATAGCATTCACTATAGTTTACCTTATAAACACAGTTCTGTTGTTCCAATTGGGGAATCAGGTGTTTTAATTTACACAGGTTTGTGTATGATAAGTGCGTCACCCTAAAGAATATTCTTATGGCGTGACTACTAAGGATATTTCTTATTTCTTCCGATGTGGATATTCAATAAGGAAATACTAAAGTATTTATCCAATCTTTATGGCTTAGTTTTCCCTTATTTTCTTTCGATGAGATGTTTTTTGTCCTTTTCAGTAGCTTTTCTTGATAGTCGTTTTGTTTTAAAACTTCCTGAACAAGTTGCCTGTCTGCTTGCTGAGATTCCACTTTATTTGGTATCCTTTGTGATCTCGTCAACAGATTTTTGAAAACGTTTAACTTAGTTTCAAATAAGTGATATGAATCAAACGTAGCAAGATCAAAACGCTGAGCAACAGTACAAAAAATCTTTTATTTTGTTTTTTGTTTTAATATACCACTCCAGGATTACACAAATAAAAATACGCCTTATACAATGACTTAGTCTTTTCTTAGTAGAACTGGGAGCATCACAGAAGAACATATTCTATATGAAACAGCCCAATCTGGTAATTGCTGTCACATCTGTTGCTATCACAGACTTCCCAGTTACTTTGGGACTTTTAAGACACCTATCAATATCTTCTGAAATAAATATGTGCCTTGCAGATTGTGCAAAGCATTGGCCAATCATGCTATCTCGTTGGTTCTTCATTTATCATCCAGCAACTCACATATTTAGTTATAAAATTATTTACGAGCTATTGTCTTTGCATCAACCACTCATGCATGATGTAACAGAAGTCAAAAAGGTAATCAGATGTCTCATGTTTTTAGCTGTAGTTTCAAGTCCCGTAATAAAGTACCACATACACATAATTTTCTGTCGTTGTAATTTCTTGTCAATAAATTATCTTTATATTTTACATCACAAAGCTTTCAAAGTTATTTAATGAGAACCAATCTAAATTTGTACAAAAATGTATGCAGAGGCTAATTAACATAACCAGTTAGTTACTTTCAGAGATCACCGAGTTGTTCTACACATCTAGATGTCACTTACCGTCACTGAATATATCAACATATTATTTGGTCATTCGATTTTATTGTGCATATCAAGTTTTGAATAACGGAAGATTTTTAAGATTACTTCTGAAATAGCTTTTATTCTGATTTTAGCCAAGTCAGATTAGTTAGTGCATTTGCATATTAAAGCTCGTATAAATCACAGGTGTATAACATACGAACGCAGAGTTTGACCTTAGTGGTGAATATCAGCTTGGGACATGTTATTTTAAATTGACTGTTTCTCACAAATCCATCCGCTTTTTGTCTATACTTCAGGATATTTTTTAACTTATGTAGATGCTTGCGCTAACATAAGTGAATGCACTTTTATTCTGAAGCATATTATACATCATCTGTTTTCTGGAGATAACTGTGCAAAAAAGCGAATTCTCCGACTTTCTTTACGGCCTTATCTAGTTTTAGATCAATCACTTTGGTGCCTACAAACTGCGGTGGTTATTATTGCGTTAAATAAACCAAATTAATGACTAATTAATGACTTTTTCTTTGCAAAAATGTGTGTCTTGAGTTCGTTTTCCTCTGTGAGCAGGGGTCTAACAACTGATGTACATACATACTGCAGAACAGTAACACAATATTTCTTCGTTTTTAGTGGCTTATTCAATTGCCAGTTTGTGGTGGAAAATATTTCCGATAAGACCCAACTGAAATTCCATTATTACCCGCAATCCTAAATAAATCTTTGGAGGTAACAAATCGCGCAACAATGTAATATATATTGCACTTTTAAAGTAAATAATGCACCAGTTCTTTTCGTATAAAAGCATCTTGATGAGGGCGACGAATGTTTGTCTTTTTCATGATACATTTTAACATTTCTATGGTGCAGAAGTTTACATTTAAGCTAATTGGATTAAAAATTACGTTTGTACCCATTCATTAGCTTCTACTGAAATCAAAGATCAGGATGTCGTGAATTATATTTTGTTTTGTGCAAAATGTTTCTTCTAGGTCACATGAGACCTCAAGTAAACAGTTCAGCAACCAGATATAAATAAGTTTCTTAGGCTGTGGGATACGCAAATTTGTATTAGGCATTACTTCACATAAATGTTACTTACGCTGGACTTGGTAGAGTATACTTCAGTTCAGAACTGCCTATTTCGATATTCTACTTTCTAGAGTACTCAAGCGTAGCTGATACCTGGTCTTACTGTCTCTCCACTGTTCATAATCAATGTGAAGTAGTGTTTAAATCCAGAAAAAAACTTAAAAGGCGTTTATAGTTTAGGTGATTAATGAAGTATTAAAAAAATCAGAAAAACGTACCTTTATTCCGCGCATCTAACCCAGCTAAACTTTTCGAAAATAGTTCTTTAAAAAATGTAGAACTTGTAATAGTATTACCATTATTATTTGAGATATGAGAAGGGTTCCCACAGGTAATGTAACTGCTGCACGAGTGTGGTAAGGGATATCTGTTGGAAAACGTTTGACTTTCATTTTTGGCTTTAGATATATTGTCATTATGAAGATTACTGTTACCTAAATAGGTACTGTAGAAACGTTTCAAAATATTGTGAAATTGAAACTCAGCTTCATTGTTTTCTATATGGTTATTTTGTTTTCCTGAATTCTGTGCACTTCTGTGTGTTTGAAGGTAATCTTGATATCCTGCGGGTGGTCCTACCATACCTACTGTCAAATCGTTAGCACCACTGCAAAAACCCTCTTCACAAGTTGTCATTCTGTTACTATTTTTGGATGGGCCTAAAATATTCAATAACTGCAGATAAAACTTGTGTGTTTCTCTGTCTGAATGCGATACTGATGGCATTAAATTTTGGGAACCCAAATGATCTATCATGGTACTTATTTGCATTGATGTTGGCGACTTGACTGTCCGTAACGGACTAATATAAAATGGTGGAAGACTCGATACGTCGTTTTTTAGTGACACTGATGATATGCTTGGTAAAGTACTCGAGGATCCAAGACTAAATGACGAATCGCTTGGTTGGATAATGTTGTTAAAGTAGGTTGGCAAGTTTCCGTCTATCAAATAAGACGTATTACTGTCTACACTAGCACATTTATCCTCACTGACTCCACTTATTTTATTGGTCATCCTTCTGTTTAGCAGCCTTCTATAACGGAATGAATGGGAACGTTTCAACATATGACTGTTGTACCTAGTTCGATGAGTCAGGTCCCATTCCAGTTTATTAACTGATGGTTCATCAAAAGTACTCATGTTTTCTGATATACTGTGATCAACAGGTGGTTGGTATTCAGAGGAAACTATATTCTGCATCTTTTCCGTTGATAAATTTACTGAATCGTCGAAGGATTTTTCTTTCTTCGTTGGATAGCTGTTAAGCGTTGAGTGAAGCGCCTTGTCATTCGGTGTATGACGTAGTTCGAAACTTTGATGTTCATTTGGTCCTGCATAACTAAGGGCGGTAAACTGTGAGCTGTTTCTTGGCTGACGTTCATTTTGGACAGCTAAACGTACACGACAGAAAAAATGTTGGTCATATGTAAAAGAAGATACTTTAACAATAGCTGAAATCTCTATCACTTCGCGTTAGCTTAAAAAATCAAGTGGAAGACATACAAAACACATGAAAACATTTTTCCAGATGTGATAATGAAAAAAGTCAATGGAGTATTGTTATCATAATTGCAATGCGGTCACTGTTATTCTTGTTCGCACTGTACATTATAGAGTTGTGACTGACTACACTTAATATACTACTTTCAGGTGACAGCTAGAGTTCTAACCACACATCAACTGAATCCGCCTGTTTAGTGAAATAGCATATACACATTCTCACTGTATGGGAACCTCAAAGTTCAGTACATAAGCTCTTGTAACAAGATAAGTTGGACTATATTTTGTCTAAAAGTCCTGGTCGAACCAAAGATGAAATGAGCTTGGTCTTCCTATGTAAATGGTTACATACAACGATGCATTCATAGCCTTTTGCCAAGAAAGTTCTAGTCATTACCTTTAAGTGGCGTGGTTTTTTCTGAAAAGTAAGAGATGGTAAGTGAATGACCAGTGCTTGTTACAGTATTGGTAGCCATAGACTGTTCACTTAGGAGATTTTGAAAATGAACGGATGACGTATGAACCAGCTTTTGCTATCAACATTTGTATGTATGCACCAACTAATGTAAATCCGATGCCTTATAAGTTAGCCTTCAATTCAAAGGATCAGATAATAAATGGTTGCTTCAGAGAGTCATTTGCTTCTGTGCGGCCTTTCAGGTGGTATATTCACCCTTACACACTCTATGATAAAGAAAGCCTTAAAGTCTAACCTGATATATTAAATGCACTTGCTATTAAATAACCAAAGTGTCACGAAAATTTACAGTGAAAGTGAAAAGGAACTTCAAATAATTTCCATGCATTCATCCTCATGAAATATTTTTGATGGAATTCACTGTGATCAGAAACCAGATTTAATAATATTACGCCATGAAAGTTGAAAAATCATCACTGGTCTGACATTATTGCTGTCAAAATTGTGGTTTATTATGGATTAGTTCTGAGTGGAGTGCACATGCTTAAAAACGTAACTTATCCTTCAGACATGATTCACTTTTCAGTTAATAATACTTGGATCACCGAATGATATGATAGTTTACCCGGAACAAACATATTTGAACACCCTCTACGAAAACCTTGAATTTCATTTGTTCGAAATGCAGCACTTTGGCTAAGGAATAAATGAAGACTGACGAAAGAGTTAATCATTACTTCCATACTATAAACATTGTTCGGTCAACTTCTTAGATTTTTATCAACAGCTTCGCTACTTACTGGAAGTTACAGTAGCAGTTAGTGGTATCATTGCTGTCATCCTCATTATGATCTCTTTTCTTCATCTTTACATTTATCAAGTTAACATTCCACTGTTGAAATAAACATCTACGGTCAATCTTCCCTTCGTCAAATTCCATACCTATCCCGTTAATTTCATCACCTTATAGGTGATTATCCAACTCCTTTACAGTTTTTACTCCAGTTTTGAACTCTTTTTTAATTATGCAACTTGACCATGGTTTTCAGTGGTAGAATATTAAATGCTTTTGCCACATATAAGTACGATCGTTCAACCTTCGAGAATGACACCATCGACAAAGAAATGTTTCTTTACTGAATAATTCTTTCCTTTTCCAACCATTGTTTCTTGGACACAAAATCTCATATACAAATAAGTGCATGACAACGTAGTGGCTAACCAAGGGAAAAGAATCAAAGTCGGCACGTCTTGGCTTGGCCATATGCCGCACTAGTTATCTAGAGCTTGTTATGTAGCTTGATCCATACCACTTATTTTATCTAACAAGTGAATTCAAACGGAGGTCTCTGAAGTACTCAGAAATGCTACTTAATGAATGCAGTAGTTATTGAGTTTGTTGTTAAAAGACAACTGTGAATTCGATACTAAGACTGAAAAGATTTACTACTGAGGAATACTTGAAGTACTTCCTAATATTTTATCAATCACAGTGTCAGCCTTCACCATAGACTATAACTATTACCAGGGTTATGTGAATCTTTTTCCCCAAGGGAAGTGAATCAAAAGTTAATCAGAGGTGATTGGAATGAAACTGACAAATCGATCAAAAGTTGGCCTCATGTCTCCCTGACAAACTTCCTAACCTATAACCCAATTACAGGCTATTTTCAATATCATTTCTTTTCTTTAGTTGTTGTGCACTTCGGAATACGCTTCTTTGTTTCTGGTTTCGGTCTATTGTCTAAATGTGTCATCTATCAAATTAAAGTAGTTCGCTGATACATGAAGTCACAAATTATTACCGAGTACTATTTTGTGTCTGACGACTATTTTTTTTATGTACTCAGGTTCAGTGGTATATTACGATATGAAATGAAATGTCGATATTATATACATCTTTTTTTCTATAAAGTGTTAAGTAGTCTAATGAATTTATAAGAGGAAGATACGTTGTAACGGATATTGGATGATAATAACAGGATACTGTGAGTGCTGTGAAGTTTTTGAACAGTTATCTAAGAAATCTGTAAGGTCCAGCCTGGATATCGGGAGCCAAGTATTGCATATACACTAAGCGTTCGTTTTACTAATAATTAAAGTTCACCGGAAGCAAACTATCAATTTTGGTTCATGATAAATCTATGGTAATGTCTGTTTGATCAATGCCAAGAAGTTACAAAAGTATCTGAATGATCTTTCGTTGGGTGGTTGGAATTATGCAACTTAAGTCCAGTCAACAGGGCTGCTCTACAACATAGTCTCGTAGTTGTAATAAGGATAATAATAATAATAAATGATCTTCAACTGTTTTTCGGTTGTTTCAAATTACTCTGCATACCACCCAATAACAGTTGCCAATATAATTAAACAGTTTCTTTTTGTTAGTTAAATATACTACAAATTTCTTTTGTGTAATGTATCACATCGAAGCAAATTTACCTAGTAACTGGTTATGCAGGCAAGCGTTTTGTTAATTATCAACATAGAATTTATAAAAATTCCTGTGAGACTTGGAAAAGTAACCGTCGCTCTTTCAGTAGGCATTTTCGCATCACCGTTAAATGGATGAACATAGGCTTAACCATTCCTGTTGACCGAGTTAATTATGTGTTTCTACTGAAGCATGTTTCATGCATGAACCACGGTTATCTAACAAATCGGCGTACTACAGATGGAGTGAATCAGATCAACAACTTCAGGAACATGAATAAAGTTGGATGTTTTAAGTTTACTTGGCATAACCCATTAAGAAAAGGAATCCATATTATTGTATTAGGTCTACGTTAGGGAGGTGAATAATCTGAATCATTATTGCTATGCGTACACAACAAAAGAATACTTCTGGACACATCTTACAAGCCAATGTAAAACTCACATGCTTTCCTTTCCATTTCAAGAGATCTTCGAGCCCATGTTAATACGAGATCTTGATGGCCATATTTTACTTTCTAACTCAATAGCCTATACTACTGATAAAAATTCAAATCCAATAGAAGCGACATCACCTATTTTCTTACTTTAGACTGTACTAATCTCTTTACAGGCGGTCAGTCGATATCATATTTTTCACAGTATACCATATCTCGTAAACTTTCTAAAGCAGACAGACACTTTCAGACTTAGTAACTACTTATGAAACATGCTGCAACTTTTTCACATATTCTGAACCCACTAGTATTTCTGCGTACTAGAACAAATCAATTATCTGGCATAAATCATCCTTTTTATATGGATATTTTAATTGTAATTTATTTCTGCACACATGTATGCATTTACTGCAAAAACATTTTCAATTTTGATTCCACATTATATCATGTAGTGTCAAAATTTATTGGATAACTGAAAACTGGGCAAACACTTGGTATTAGCGGTGTAGAGAAATTCGCAGTTTTATTTTGATGCACACATTGATGCTTTTTGTAAAAGGCAGCAAGTTGATAGCAACGAGTAACTTACCGTCTTTATTCATACCCATACGAATACACTTCTTTAGTCTACAAGCTTGACATTGATTTCTGTGTGCTTTATCAATTACGCATAGGCCGTTACCTGCTTGACATCTGTAGAGAAATGATAAAAGAAAGATTTTGTAGTAATTTTCCTGACGTAAAATGAATTTTATGTTTGACAGAAGAAATAATTGTCTTTAAGACTTTTTCCCTACTGTTTACTAGGAAGACTGTCGCAGGGACTTATTATTCTTTGTTGGAAAAATGAACTCAGCTACTTCTTCAAAACGACAGTCTAGAAAGGCGGAAGTTGGATTGCTACAGGTACTTGTAATTTTAATACTTTGACGGAAAATGGAACAATTATTGGGAGAGCTGTTCTTAGGTATGGAAATATTCTTTCATTGTTCGGGATAGCATGCGAAATGTGTGCCATTTGTAGTAATAAATAGGTACTAGAATGATCAGAAAATGTTTCCATCTTTTAAAGAACACAGATTAAAAACAGTCAGTCCTTCAGATGGATTTTCATAATGTTTTACGAAGACAGAGTTCATTTGAGAAATGTGACGCATTCACGCAATATATTATTGAACAGTCTGACTGCACATTCACTTTTCAAAGCATTTTTATGTGAAACGTGAAATTAAACTTGAGGTCAAGTAAGTTAGAATAAAAAGAAATGTGGAAAATAAAGCATGTTGAGGAGGAATAATAACATTTTCCGGCCGTCCTCGGTATTAAAATGAGATAAAGATTACCAAACAAGCTTTAAGGCAATGACGATTTGTTTTTGAAAGCTCAAAGGGGGGTTTGAACTTTCTTATGACTAAGGACTAAATAAACCTGTTCATGGTCCTGATGACTCCAGTGTGAAGGTCTAAAGGCTGTTTTGGGATCAATCCTAAGACGTTTTTCCATAGTGTCTTTAGTGACTGATGACGACGTCCGTTTGCCCCATGTATTTATCTACCTATCTGAAAGTAATTGTTTTTCCGGTTATTTTCGAATATTCTTCGCCTACCCTATTTCTTATTTCACTTACTCTTCCCAGCGCACGAATCACCCCACACCCATGTAAACTGGTATACACAATGGGATGTGACTAAATCTTCAGCAGATTAATGGAAAGAAATACATGATATAATCTTCATCTTGATGCGTCGTAAAGTAGCCTGAAAATAAATAAGTATATTTTTAACTATTTCGCTGATGGGTGAACACAGAAAGTGTAGGGTGCTTACTTTCTGTTTATAATACTATTGAATTCAAGAATAAAATAATAACCACTCTCCTTAGAGTGGAGATCAGTCAGTCAATTGATAGTTGGATTTTCACTGATCAATGCATTAGTGAGTGTTACCAAAACTTAAATTTGAAGGAGATCTTGCTGATTAAACTCCAGGTAGTTTACTGAGATTTGATAGTGTCTTATTTATTTTAACACTTAGTTTCTAATTTTGTTCAGAATAGTATATTTGCTAGAATTTTCTCACCTGTATATAAGTTTTCGCCTGACAGAACGCTTAAAAAATCCACTGCACCCGTTACATGCCAATATACCGTAATGTTTCCCACTACTGACATCCCCGCAAACAATACAGTATAATCCATTCTGGCTGACACGTTTAATATCTCGGAATTTCACCGTAAATTCATTCATCCCTACAGCGGTAGATTGTTCTGAGGTTGAATCAGGTTTAGGTAAATTGTACGACTCAGAACATGTGTACATATCTGACTGACCGGTTGCAAGACCGGTTTGCCTTGAATCTTTGTTATTCAAAAATTGAATGTGAGATTTTCTGAAAATAATTGAGGATTAAAATCTGGGTTGATATAATTTTCATTTCCTGTTTGATTTTTGTCATTTTTAAAACTTGGAATATCTTCACAAAAATGAGCAGAGCTCGAACTACTGACAGGCCATGTAATTGAATACGTTGAAAGCGGTAATGATGATTGACTTTTCATCAAATGGGCTAACCACAGAGTAGAATTCGAAATAAGTGTTGAAAAGTCCAAGATATCATTCGCCTTGACTGTTGGCTGAAGTAAAATTGGAGGATTGAACTGATTTACTAGCCTCGAAAATGTATCCGATTTGTCTCGCAAAGATGAAACGGAAGAACAAACAGTGTTTTCCGTAGGTTGTGTTGATATATTGTTAGCAAATTGCGAATTCCTTATTCTATCAGACAAAAACTTATCACTCTGTATTTCCTCTAACTTTGAGTGGTATCTCTCCTCGTTACTTTGTTCTCTTGATGACGATCTAAAACCAGATTTATTGTCGTAGGCAAATTCGTCATGGGTTACTGATGTATACGGAGAAATCTTCTTGACATCGAATTTCTCAATAACATTTTTTTGATAATCTTTATTTTGTTGTAAAGATTCCGCTGAAACAAGAACACCGTTTAGTAGAAATAAATATCTTAGCAAGAAATGACATCAAATTAGGAAAGAGTCTTGATTTCTAATCGCGAAGATAAAATTTAATATGTCCAGTTTTATCATGTCGGTGTTTGGAAACGGTTCTTCATAATGCAGTAAAACTATATGAGGAACAGCACAATAATATTTTGGTCTTACAAAACTAGTAGTTTTTTCTGTGTTCTACAATTTGGATTGTCTAGTTATTCCGAACCGGTGTAAAGTCGTCACAACTTCAAATGATTATAATTTGTAGTCATGATTTTTGAACCGTTCAGATTTCAAAACATCAGCAGCCTATACTGAGTATCTCACTTGGTCTATGAAATCTTGTATAACATTCAACAGGCAGACTGTGGTACTCTACCTGTAATCCATTTCCTATAAAAGCTTTATCTTGACCATTTATTGTTCCGCAAACAAAAAGGTAAAGAAGATAGCAGTTCATTTTGTAGGATCACTTACTGAAAGTGAATCAGATTATGATTGATAAATCCATAAAAGTAGTTTTTTGATCGACGCTGGATTTTGGAAGAATAATATCATGATGAAATCGACCTACTTTGGGAATTTGCCCTTGAATACTGACCTCAAATCCACTGACATCTTGTGTTCCTCTTTCAGGTTAAATTAGGAGCTTCTTTGCTCTTTTCTAACAGTAGGCATTACAATTTTAACTGACTGCCTTACTTATTGCAGTAATTAAGCGTAATATCAATATAAAATGCTAGTGAAGGTACTTGTTATTACTAAAATACTTCTCTTTTTCAAAGATAAGAGGAACTGGTTAGATTTGAGACGCAGTTGGAAATTTATTATTATGATGGTCAGCTCTGCTTTTTTAATCCTTTTACTTACATAAATATAAAATTTCAAAACCGATACTACAGAAGCATCTTACTTATAATAGATATTAACAGCTTTCACTGGTGACCTTCCTCAAAGTCCAGATCACTCCTGAGCATCATTTTATTCACGCTGTTTCAACATAGTTACAGTCTTACTCATTTGGTCGTATGACATTGTTTCAGTCAAATAAACTGGTGCTTCTACAGTCACAGCTTCAATCGCATTCGTGTAGGTATTCCGTTGAGCGAGAATAGTAACCGATAGATCTATAGGAAAAACTAATAGAAAATTATTCATCTGGTGGTAGACAAAAGTGGGATTTATGCTTTTAGGGTCATCTCTTTTGCATTAGATATTACTTAGTCTTAGACTATCGTAGTTCCACTGTAGAAGTGTAGCCGTATATGTTTAACTAGTATTAAATATAACTTCTGGTGTTGTTTACGAATATTTGGAACTAACCCGCAATGCCAAAATAATTGCATAATGATGCCACTACGCAGACAGAAGCCTATCAGTTCATTCCAATTTTGTGGGCCACGGGAAAATGTGAAGTTTAATTGGGGTAAAGAATATTTTTTCACTGTAGTTTAGGACACTACATGTTAACCGGATCAAAGATAGGCTGAACAGTTTTTAAAAACTAATTTGTCGGAAAGTTCTGAATGAATTCGATTCCTACATTCATCACGGTGGTAGATTTATGACTTCCTAAGCTACTGCGGAAAAAGTTAATGTTAAATTTGTCCTGTAACAATGAAACATTATAACTTGAAGTTCGAAGGAAGCCAATGTCCAGGTTACAGATGTCACTCAAAAACCCTTTCTAAAATCTCAAATGTCACCGATAAATATCTTGAAATTTCAGTGAGAAATTAATGATAAATGCACTTTGAGTCAGAAATGAGGAAGTAAGTTATCTTCACGCTTCAGTAATCACAAACAATGTAAATGACTAATGACAACTGTCATGACAAATTATATAAATATCTCCAAGTCACTAACTCTCCTGTTGTTATGCTTGATGTGAATAAGCATCCGTTCTGCTGCAATATCTATCACCTGATCAACACACAAAGAAGCTCTGTATAATCGAAGTGATGTTGACACCGTAACGGCAGTGAAGCATTGCACCTCAGTCAAGATAACCAACATTTTCACTGAATTACCGTACGAAGGAAAACTTTTGTTTCTTGCCTTCATAGACGTTGTGGTGACCCAGTTTATGAAACTAGAACACCATCAACGCTAAAGGGGCTTTCTTCTAATCCACTTATGGATAATTATTCTAGAAGTTCTTTGTATACTCTGTACATAAATTCGATGTGTTCAGCTTTTTAAGCCAATTTAGCTGGTGCTTGGAAATGTCATTTTCTTTGTGATAACGATTCCATATTCACCTTAATAGGTATTTTAGCAAATTATCCTAATCGAGCGATAAAACCTATCATATAAATAGTCACTCCCTTCTGACTGCTTTACTGGATGCCTAAAATAGAAACTGTACTTTTCTAAATATTATTTTTTTCTAATTTGTTGATATAAATAAGAGCACTAACTAGTTGTATAGGTGCACTGGTCATCACTAAGGTATAGACAAAATCATTCCCGGCATAATTATATAGTCCTGAATTATTCAACCGTAATTATTGCAACTAGTATGTGAAGTGTGTTCACATTAGAAGAAAAATATGGTAGGAGTGGAGAACTAAAGACGTCTATTAGTTACTGAGGTGAAAACATTTTTTATGATGATTTCCATTTGAATTCTCATCTTGGCATGTCAAACTGACTTACTGAAACCACGTAACTGCAAACTAAACGTTGTAATCTTTCAAAACCATTCCAGCTTCATACTGTTTCGGCATGAAATTTGTATCTGATATGCGAACTGGAAGTACACTTTTAGCTGGTTACTGAATATGAGTTGTGTGCATTGTTCAAGTAGATTGTTCAGTGAGAACAAAAACTTTTTGCGACTTATATGGATGTCTGTTTATAGTCACCATTCATGCGTACGAAAAGGGTTCTGATGAAATAAATCTAACAGCAGCTGTTAGATATGTTGTTGTCACCACCAAAAATCCAAATTTAGTGAAAATTGTAAACGATGAGAATAATCTGTCAAATGGGACCACTAAAAGTACAGTGTAACCTCAGATGCCAATTGTGAGATTATTTTAGGACCAGTAATAGAAAGGAATAGCTGGAAGGTATTTTATTCTTGGTGATGTAGGTTCAGACCACTATATAGTGCAAGGAACCTTTCAAATCAAGTTGGAAGCCTTCAAGGAAGTTAGTGACAGACAGATCACGGTTCAAGTTCAACACCCACAAACTGAAGGAAAAAACTACAAAGGAAATCTTCACATCAGTCAGCCATCATAACAAAAGGGGAGACATTGAGCAACATCTTTGAGGGAAGCTGAGTGGACGAACACTGGAACTCTTTGGAAGAGATGTGGAAAGAAACTTGCTTCACCGTACTAGGAAGGAAGAGGAAACAAGACAAGCAATGGATCTCGATGGACACATGACAGCTGATAGAGGAGGGGGAGGAAGATGATGAGCAGAAGATGAACCAGTGCAGTGCAGGGACGAAATACGAAAGAGGAACTAAACACAACCTATAAAACACTAAAGTGGGCAAGGAAGTGAAGAAGAGTGCACCCAAAGACAAAAGACACTTCTACGACACACTGAAAAGTGAAGCACAACAGGCTGCAATTAGGAGAGACGGAGACCTGACAACATTATATCAGATGACCAAGTTATTATCTGGGAGGGAAGAGATCAACGCAGGCAAAAGCAATGACAGATGGTAAAGGAAAGGTAGTCACCAAAGAGAGGCAACAAAGAAAACAATGGGCTCACCACCTCGAAAGACTCTTGAATTGACCATCACCTACAACTAGTTCGGAAATACCACCATCAGCAACGGCAGAACTACCAGTAAAAACAGGCCCTCTAACAAAAGCAGAAGTGAAGTCCTCATTGCCACAAAATTGCTGAAATCCGGGAAGGCAGCAGCACCAGATGGAATCCCTCCAGAAACACTGAAAAAAGACGCAGAGACAACAACGGATATGCTCACACCACACCACGCCTTACGACTACTGAAGAGGGTTTGTAAGGAGGGAAGGGAATGTACCTGCCAATTATAAGAAGGGCTACCTGGTCAAGCTACCAAAGAACGAAGACCTAGGTCTTTGCAAGAACTGGAGCGGAATCATACTCCTGGCCATACCAAGCAAAATGTTATGTCGCATCATCCTGGAGAGACTAAAGGATGCACTGGATTCACAATTACGACCAGAACAGGCTGGCTGCCTTCAGGAAAACAAGTCATATGCGGATCAAATTGCAACACCACGCATCATCATAGAACACAGAATAGAGTGGCAGTCAACTGAACCTCAACTTCATCGACTTTGAATAGGCCTTCGACAGTGTCGACTGCGAATTAATTCGAAAACTGCTGCTTCAACACTACGGTGTTATTGCCACAAACCTTTGTCAACCTCATTCAACAGCTAAATGCCATATAATGTTACCTACCAAGTGCTTCACAAGAGAAAGCTCAGCGGTGCGTTTGAAGTGAAGACAGGAGTAAGACAAATTGGCCACCTACTATCACTGATGGTCTTTCTGGTTGTGGTCGACTGAGCTGAACTGGATCATGCAACAAACTATGAGGAGCGAGAAGACTGGCATACGCTGGGACGATGAAAAGACCCCAGGAGGAGATTCGGATTCTGCCGATGATGGTTTATGTCTAATATCACACAAACTCAAAGATGTACAGTGGAAAACTAACAAGTTGACAGAACAGGCAGGGCAGCGAAAACTGGACTTCCTCCAGGTGAATGTAGAGAAGACATAGGTGATGAAGATACCCAACCAATAACAGCATCAACAACAGGCATCGATCACCATTAACGGGATAAATCTGAAGGAAGTAGTCTGTTTCACCTACACCTAGGCAGCATCATTTCAACTACAGGTGGCACAGACGAGGATGTCAAAACCAGGGTCGGAAAAGCAAGACACGCCTTCATTAATCTGAAAGCAGTATGGAGATCGATCACACTCAGCACAATGAACAAGATCCAGATTT